GGGGTCTTCCCAGTCTTTATGCTAGATTTCATCTTAGACTTGTGGGGTGTACCAATCCAGGTACATTTGCCAAGGCTGTTGACCAGGGGTGAAAAGGCGGGGTGCAGGCTCTTTCAGGGCAGTGGAACCATTCTTCATGTTACTGTCATGATAGACACATGGCATTATGTCCTTGTCAAACCTAGAGGACTAATTCGGCAACCCTAAGGTAGGTTCAGCAAAAACAAGGGAAGCCGCAATAAGATGGGCTATTGACACATTAGCCCCAATAAGCATTAGCAACAGTGGAAGTATTTTGTTCTGTTATATATAGGTTGCTATGGGTCACAAGAGTCTGGACTGCGGCTAATAAGTATGTAGATTATGGGCTTCAGCTAGTAATAATGTGCCAAAATTGATTCACCAATAGTAACAAATGCACCACATGAATGTAAGACATTAATAATGGAGGAAAGAATGCACAGAGGTGAATATGTGGGACCTCTAAAAAGAACTGTATCATTGTTGTCATTAGACCTGGCTCAAAATGAACAGCAGTCAGCATTCTACTGCATCCTTTCTCCACAAAGGAACCAAGGCTTCCTGATGCAAACTCATCTCATCCTGGACTGACTCAGAAATCACAGCTGCCCTGCTGGGAAGAATTTCCTCCACAGTAGGGAACACCCTACCATGAGCTAAGGCTCTCCAGTTCCATGGAACCCAGCACAAGAGCTAAATGAGTGCTGTTTACATGGTGTTTCCCAGTCTGTTAGTGGTACGATTAATGTGGTGTTTCTGCTGTCAGCTGACATCAGGTTGGCATTGACGCATGGCAGCCCCATGTACAACAGAACAAAACCCACCTTTGCCATCACTGGTGTGGCTGAGCTCCTTGGCAGAGCCTCTGTGTGCTTTGAGTACCAGCCTCGGGCTCATCCTGCAGCACTGCCGCCTGATGATGTTCTTCAGGGGGGTTTCACTGGCTGATTTTCAGAGGCAAAGTAGATGATCAGGTCTTCCTTCCTAGTCTCTCTTAATCTAGAAGCTCTTCTATTCACTGTGGGTGACACCCCCACACACAATATTTTAATTACTGGTGGCATAAGCTTCCAGCGTCATAGCAACATGCAAGCCCCCACAATATGGCAAATGCACAGACAGGAGATTGACTAGGATATACAGCCGATACCAGGGTGCTTTTAAAACAGAACAAGCACATCACCTAGGTCAGTCTTCCATATTCTTCTCCCACTATATTTGTCTCTGAATATATTTTAGATTAGTATCATAAAAACATAGGTGCAATTCTTAATTTTTCTTTGGTCAATTAATGTTGTTAGGTATAATTAAGCTATAGTACAAATAAGTGGCTTTCTTATTGGATTTTTTAAAATAGTTACATTTGCTAGGGAGTTGATTCTCCATAGCAGCTAGAGACTCAGCAAGCATTTAACACCCCAAGGTTTATAACGCTGTCAGTCTTTACGGAAAAGAGCCTACCAGAGTGGCTGCAGAGTGACTAATGGTGTCAAACCACTGACCTTTTGGTTAGTAGTCAATCACTTAACCACTGTGCCACCAGGCCTATTTAAAAAGACCTTTTGAAGGGCCTAAAAAGTAACAGAAAATTATTCTTTCCTCTATGAGATGGATTGATTCGGTGACTGGGGTAATCGGGATGGGTGTGTCAGAGGCGGTGCGGTTGGCGCAGGATAGAGCAGGGTTTAGAGCTGTTGTGCATAGGGTCGCTATGAGTCGGAAACGACTCGATGGCACATAACAACAACAACATGTTAATATTGGATGTTTCCAGTTTTCCCTTGAATAAATAAAGCAGCAATGGATAATTTAAAGCTTTTCTGATTTTCCCTTTTAAAGATTATTTCCTTGGGATAGATTTTTTCCAGTGTGTCAGAAATATATCAGTAGGTATATGACACCTAGGGATCCCTTTTTGCCGAATGGCAAGAGGCTGTGTTGCCGTCATGAAGGTACACAGTTTGAGGCCACCAGCTGCTCCAGCGGAGAAGGATGGACCATCTCCTACCGTGTGATTAAGTGCCTCTGAAAACCCACCAGAGGGTCAGCTATGGGTCGGTTCCAAGTGTATGATACACAACAACAACATGACACTTAAGTTACATTCCCAAGATGCCACTCTTAATCATTGCATTGAAGCGGATGACTTGCATTTAAGTTTTGGCATGAACTTGCCCATGGGCAAGTCAAGACGTGTGAGAAGAAGTGTGGCGTCCTGCTGTGACTGCTTCTGCACAAGGAGCTCAGCTCTATCCACCAAGCAGCATGGTCCCTTTAACAAACAGTGAACTTGAGCAGCCCCTTTAGAACAGATTCTGTTGACCAGTTTGGTAGTGACCTGGGCAGGATAAGCCTGCAGGTTACTTTGAGGACAAGAGTAAAACCACAGACTGTGTAGCAATCAAGAAAAGATCCATCGCAGGGCTGTGCTGGGCGCCTTCAACTTCTGTAGCTCTTGTCCCAGATTCTGACTTTGTGTTGACATTGTAACTCTTTTCTGTGTCTCTGTGTCTCCATGTGGAGAAAGCATGAGTGGTGCTTTGATTGCAATCTCACCTTCTGTGCTCATTTCCTGGGCAGTGCTGCTCATGTGCAGATGCCATCCACCCTCAGTGGAGGCTTTTGCACTGCTGAACAGGTTGCAGTGGAGTCTCTAGAATGATAAAATCTGGCCAAAACAACCTGGTGATCTAGTTCCAAAAATCAGCCAGTGACAGTCCTGCATATCCTGGTACCAGCCCATAGCCAATCTTGAAAACAATGCAAGACCAGGCAGCATTTCATGCCAATGTTCATCATGAATCAGGGCCTAAGCATCAGAGAGCTGGCAGTGACTAAGGATGACAGAAGAAAAATAGATGCCTTCAAGCTGTGGGACTAGAGAAGAGTAATAAACTTACCGTGGACTGCCAAGAGAGCAAATAGTCTGTCTTGGAGAGGGTGAAACCAAGTTGTTCCTTGTAGGCTAGGATTTTTGAAGCTCCATCTCACATACTTTGGGCACATGGCCAGGAGAGACAGGTCCTTGGAGAAGGCCATCATGCTTGGAAGAGTGGATGGACAGTGCAGGAAATGAAGACCCAGATGAGATGGATTGGTGCAGTAACTGGGGCAATGAGGGTAGGTGTGTTTGAGTCAATGAGATTGACTCCAGGGCAGGGTAGACTTCAGAGCTGTTATATGTAGATAGGGTCAATCTGGGTCACAGGTGACTCAATGACACATAACAACAAAAACAAATTATATGGTAGATATTCAAAATGGAAATCAGAAATTCTTTTTCATTTGGAGCCATCCTATTACATGAATTACCAAAATACTTATGCCATCAATTTGACTCTCTCTTTAGTAAAAAAAAATTGTTAGGTAGGTGTTAGCTTGGATAATTTAATGTTTCCTATTATTTCTCTAGTATAATTGAATAGTACCTCAGAGCTCAATTTATGGTTTTATATTGTTGTTGTTGTTATGTGCCGTTGAGTCATCTGCGGAGGTGGTTTTATATTATAGTGTTTATAAAGAATACATACTGTTAGGGGCCATCAAGTCAACCAACTCAGCAACTATGGTTGTTCAGATGAACAACACATCTGAACCTTGCCTTTCCCTGGACCATCCTCATGATTTCTCATGCTCAAGCCCATTGTTGACAGTCACTGTGTCAGACCATCTCACTGAGGGTCTTTCTCTGACCCTCCGCTTTTCTAAGCTTAGTGTCTTTTTGCCAAGGACTGGCCCCTCCTGACATCATGCCCAAAGTATGTGAGGTGAAGGTTCACCACCTTTGCCTTTAAGGAACAGTCTGTTTGCACTTCCTCTAAGAGACGCTTGTTATCTCTTAGCGGACCATGGGATACCTGAACACTTTCGCCATTTTTTGGTAGTATATGCATTATTACATATATATTCCAGTGTTCAGATGCATTGTGATGTATATAATGCAGTGTTATTGAGGCATGTAAGGGAAGCCGAAGAGAACAAGGAAAGAATTTCCATATAACTGAGAGATTTCTAGTTTGTCGTTCCTCCATGTGCTAAGAGTAAAAGAGTCTGACATCTAGAATTGAGCACTATATTTCCTATCACTAACCACAGCAGGTTTTTATAGTGACAATGGCATCACTATCCTGGATGTGGGTTTATATAACTACACACATTTTAAATTAGAAAGAGAATTGTGACTGAGATGAGATTTAATAGCAATGGAACAAAATTGACTTGAGCTGAACAGTCTGTTAATCTAAAAAGCAATCAAAACATTGCTCTTCTGCATTTTTTGAAGTAAGAACAGCCTCGAGAATAGTTATCAGTGTATTTGTTTTTTAAATAAAATTTTTATTTTATATACTGGTTTACTTACAAAGTTAGTATGCATTGTTTTTCACACTGGATCTTTCCCATTTCCTTTACCCACTCTTCTATGATTATGCGATCCATGATTACCCCCCCTGCCCATCCTCACCCCTCTGCTCCTATGCTCTCCTCTTGGAACCTCATACACGTTTCATCAGTTATCGTTCTATTTCTGCAATAATGGTCTTAAACAGTATTTGTCCTTATAGATGGGACTATTGGTGCCCTTTTCCTAATGGCCATGTCTTCACGTGCCTAGAATGGCAGTGGCCAAGGCTAACAGTGACAGAGCCCTGTGTCTGCTCCCTCACACTCTGGTCAAGGCTGAAGCCGGAGGACATTAGCGAGCCTTTCTGAGCCATGACACTTTCTAGTGGCACCTCCTCCCTTAGTGAGAAAAGGTGAGATTTTGCAGGACAAAAATGGTCCACTAACATCAGCAGTGGGCCTGTTGTGTAAATAAGCCCACAAGTCCTTTATTCCTTTCCATTGAAATATGTGATTTGGTCTACACCATTTTATGTTGTTCCTAAACAATTTCATTCTACAAAATAGCACACTAGAGATAGAAGTTGGGGTGGAAATAAACAATTCTTGCTCACACGTCTTCTTTGTTTTCCTCACAGGAGCAGTTTGAGTTTGCGCTGACCGCAGTGGCCGAGGAAGTGAACGCGATTCTCAAGGCCCTTCCACAATAAGCACCTGCTTCTCCTGTGGGATCTGAGGTGTCCTTCTGACCCCACCAGATGCCGTGGGAAACCCTGATATGACTTTAATTATGTGTCTTCTATTGTAACTGCATAGTAATAGGGTCTTTCAAAACTCCTGTAGTCAGTACAGTGTAGCAGCTAAAATGTGTGTTTCTGTTCAACCAAATACTAATAAAGATTTGTGGAAACATCCAATTACAGGGGGAGATCAGTTCATCCAATTATCTTCACTTTCTTGAAAAAAGAAATCACTTCTTAAAACACACATTCACATTCCTAATTGCAAATAATGCCGTATTTGTGATGCAGTAATTAGTACATTCAGTGCAGTCTCTGAGATGTTTGCTTATAATCTGTAACTTCTGAAGGACAAATCGGCTGGGAAGGAGGGGCCCATGCAAAGTGGTGAGGCTTTGCAGGAAGGCTCCCAGGGAAAGAAGTGGCACTCAGCATTTGTCTTCAAGATGATTTCTCGCTGGGAGAAACCATTGACTTATTTGGGAGTCAGATCCACAGAATTAGTAACTAATTCTAGTTAGCAAGGCAAGTAGCAATTGGAGAAGTGTCCCAGCCCTCTGTTATGTTTGCACATGAGCTGCTGGACATGCCCCTCAGTGCCATCAAAGGCCAGCTGTCCACTTTGTCCAGCACAGTGGAAAGATCTCAGGAACTTCCTCCTGTGGGCAGGCCTTCCTCAACCTGAAACGCATGCCCAATCTCAAGGCACAGACGCAATTAGGATGCGCTGAACTTTGTCTTGTAAAGTTATGGTTTAACCCCAACCTGGAGGCATGGTTTTTTAAAGCTTGAAAATACTGATTTATGCACTGTAAAAGCAGATACGCATAATAGACACTTTTCCTATGAGATAACTAGAAGTAGGATGAACAAACCTACTTGTAAATTTAGGTATTGTAAAGTAGGATTTAACAAACACTGCAAGTCCAAATGGGATTATCATTTCCAGCCAGATAGCTGGACTTTGTGACTTTGTCCTAAGGAATGCTTCTAGGCCCTGCTGGTGTCTAGTAAAAAGACCTGTGGTTATCTTCACTTGTTTCATAGAAAAAAAGAAAATGCAAGAAGTGCCATTCTTTTAATTTTTTTTTAATCTGTATTAAGTCTCCTGGAGAATGCAGAAGTCAGCATACTTGACTACTAACCCAAAGGTTGGGGGTTCTAGTCCACCATACAGCTCCTATGAAGAAAGGCCCGGTGACCTACTTCCAAAATATCGTCAGCTGAAAAACCTTTGGAGCACAGTTCTCTCGGAACCAGCTCCATGGCATCTGGTTTACATAGCAGTTGGGAAAGAAGTGGAAAATGTAGTTGGCCACCCAGTCCTTCATCCCAGGGATGTTGGATCCTTGGAATGACCAAAGTGCTTTCTTCACTTAACCCCTACCAGTTGCTGTGAGGTCCTGTAAACACCAGCACGGGCCTAGATGTTGTAGCGATTCCTTGAGTGTGCCAGAATAGCACACTCAGAGTCCCCCACCCAGAAGCAGAAATTCACCTTGAATTCAACTCAGAGTGAAGACATCTAAGGAAGCATGGAGCTGTTCCTTGCAGATCTTATTTATTGGATCGTGTATAGACATTTCCAATTGCTTTTCCATCCTGCTGGATTTCACCTCACTCTTTCCATTTTAAATAGTGCATTTCAAAAAGCAGCATCATTGGGGAAATGGCCTATTTAATGGGGCAATAAATGCCAAAATATTGTTTCTGTCTTTAAATGGTATTGTACTGTATCCGCTTTAACAATTCTGTCATTAATTTTTGAAATTTTTTTCTCTAACTAAAATTTAAATAATAGAAATTATCTTATCTGAATATAGAAAGCATATAACTACTTGTAATTTTTATCTTCTTATATTTCAAAAAGAAGTCCTCCAGTATGAGATAGACATAAATACATATATATAATATATATATTGTGTCATATTAAACTTTTGATTTCATGTTAGAGTGGTCTTTATTTGGAGATAAACACATTTTTATGCTCTGCGTCTATTTTTTATTTTTTTTTTCCTGAAAATATTGGGCTTTTTAGATTGCTAAGAGTGTGCCTTTTCTTGGAACTCTCAATGGCTTGCTGTTTTATTTGCTGAGTTAGATGTGTACTGAAAGCGAGGATGACACGGAGATTTTATTTTTAGAAAAGTCATTAAACAATTTTAATGAAAAGTTGCACATCCTGCCTCTACTCGAAGTGTTGTCTGTGGATGTTCAGGGATTCGGGCCCTTTCGCAGGGGAGATATTGAGAACGCCCTCTTCCTCCTCTTCTACTCCCTTCCCCTTCTGCCCTCCCAGTGCTGAAAGGTGGTCACTCCCTTCTCCCACATACCATCGTGTAGAGCCTGACAACAGTTGAGTCTTAGGTGTTTTCTTACCTGAAGTTCTTGCCTTTTTCCATCTAAAACTCCAGTTCCATTTTAGGATTAACTCTTCTTATCTTGCATGGAAAGAAGATCGTCCTTGGTCTTGCAATAGTCAATCCTCTATGGAACCCCAGAGAAAACCCATTTGAAAGCATTTCAAACAAGCACCAAAGGGAAAAGACACTGCTGGGATTTGGTTTTGTGGCTTAGCTTACATGATACACTGGTCTATTTTAGCTGACATGACAAGAAATAAAGACTAGTAGATTTATTTTATCACAAAATATAATCATTTCAGAACAAATAATCAATGTTCATTGAAATCCTGGTATTCATTTTTAAGAAATCAGCCACTAAATCATTTGATTGGCAGAAGGTTACATTCTTATTAGCTCAGTCTCTCTTACACACTCTTTTCCTCATGTATGCCTTCATGGTAAAATCCTAAGTATCCATGAAATTTCTGCTTTAAAAAAAATTTAAATATCACTGATTACAGTAGTCACTTCCATCTTAATGTGTATTTTAATATATAAAGCATCTTGGGATGAACAGATTTCAGGACTTAGGGGAGGAACAATATGGCAGACTGAATAACAATATTCCACTCTTGTTAGAAATACTCAGAAGTGCTTGACAGAAATGAACTTCAAAACTTAGATCACTAAGTCAGTCCCATAAGAACAAATAATGTATAAGCCCATTACTGTAGAACATGTATCTCCAAGGTGGGGAGAGGCGTGCAGAGTGGTGAGAATGGGTGGGGGATGCGAGGACGTAATTATAGAGTCACACAATTTGATGGGTGGAGGGAGGAGTGGGTAAAGGAAATGGGAAAGATTTAGTGTGAAAAACAATGTATATGAATTTTGTAAGTAAATCATTATAAAATGAAAATTTTATTTAAATTTTTTAAAAATCCTAAAAGCTGCTCCTTGGAGGCAAGGATTCTGAAGCTCCATCTGACATACTTTGGACATGTTGCAAGACAGGATTAGTCCTTGGAGAGGGATGTCATGCTTGGGAGGGTGGAGGGACAGCACAGGAGAGGAAGACCTTCGATGACATGGATTGATTCAACAAAAATAAAAGAAACTTACTATAAGAGGAAAAAAATTAGATCACTTACACAGTTCTCAGGTCAAATGGAAATACCAAGTACACAGAGACAGAACTCAAAATCAGTGTTATACAGCTTAGACTCTGATCTGGATACCACTTGGAGTCAGGATAAATGTGAGGACACTGGTAGGTGATTAAAAACAGGCTCTATGAAAGAATGCACCATAGAAGTGTGCTTAAGTTTGTTGTGAGATTTACCGACAGAAGATAGACAGATCACCACCTATAGCTAGCAATCACATATTAAGTATTCTGGTGGGAATTCTGTAAGACCTATTGACAAAATCCTCTTACACCTTCAAAACACATTTGATTCTCTCTGGTTCAAATCCATGAGCATCTCTGAGGCAGAAAGATGGGCAATTACCTATTATGTCATTTACAATTTTGGAAATCTGCGAGAGGGTCTACTATGAGCTGGTTCTGACTCAATGGCAATAACTGGCCTAATCAGCATTCACAGTGCTCACTTCATCACTTAAAGTCTAGACAGTCAAAAGAACAAAAACTGAAGTCCTAAGATGTACTCTTGGCCCATTCCCATGACTTGAATATGGAATTACACTATGAATTATGTCATGATAAAAATGTGACATTATGGAACATGGAGTTAAGAGCTGTATAGAAACATACAGTTATCTATCTGCGTGCATCTGTATGTTCCCCCATACACAAGCTAAGGATGAAAATAATTGTTAGAGCATAAATAGTAAAATGTTGTAAAAAGAATTAGCAAGTGGTAAGTTTTTAGTATGCACATGTTGTTGTTGTTGTTATGTGCTGTCGAGTCGCTTGCAACTCATAGCGACCCTATGTACAACAGCTCTAAACTGCTCTGTCCTGTGCCAATCTCGTTGTCTCCAACACACTCATCCAGATTGCCCCAGTCACTGAATCAATTCACCTCCCAGAGGGCCTTCCCCTCCTGCTCCTGCCCTCCACCCTC